CAAATATGGCCGTTTTTAGCCGTTGGGAACGACTATTTTTGCAATTATAGCTGTTGCCCAATGGCTATAATTCAAAAAAAAAGGGACGCGGGATAGGACGGGACGGGACGGGACAGACGGGATGGGCGGGACGGGACAAAATGGGACGGGATAAACGGGACGAAATGGCCATCCCATCCCATCCCGTGTCCCGTTTAACATGGGCCCATCCCGTTTAAAATTAAGTGGGACGGGACGCGGGACGGTAGTGTAGATAATGAGGTCTACTTTAAATTAACCATAAACTTTCTTCTATGACAGTCGATGGGGTAACTTCTGCCTCATATGACAGTACGATATCCAACTAACTACCACAAAATCCTGAAGGTGATTAAACATCTGCAATTGCAATAGAGTAAAAGCTCGGTAATATTCATGATTTTACATGATGAGCACATGAACATCTCTAGAAGAGAAGTTATAGGAACAAATGATTGCATGAGCATTACATATCCCAACAGCCTCATTTAATCGTTTGCGATCCTAAGCTTTCAAGAGGTGTGGGTTGCAAGAGCTAACCACATAGTTTTCCATCTATAAATATTCATAGTTATGAACTGGAAAACAGGTTATGCCAAGACTCCAGATTAATATTTCTTTTTCTTAATATCTCGCTAAAGAGACTGCCAAATAAACAAAACAGGTACACCATAGTTCAACACTAAGAAGCTCCAGACAAACTATCCAAATGCCATATGCGAACCATATCCTACATTAAGTTCCACGAATCAGCAGCATTCGGTGGAACCATAACCAATCAAGATGGCAGAAAATTGTAACTTAGACCTCCATATGTCTATCAGTGCACAACATCTGGAGGATCGCCCTAATCACTCCCTGGCAGGTCGCGGAAAGAATACCCCGGATTTCCTTTCTTTATTTTGTTCTTTCTCTTTCTTTTCTGTTTCATGACGATGTTGTCGGGCCAGCTTGTGCGCACCTCGACTATTGCATCAGGTACCGACTACCTTTCATCAGCACAGTTACCGGATAACTCTACCAACCTTACGGTTTCAACTACAACTAAATGAACGAATAAAATAAGATTGGCACCTAGATATTAACTTTACTTACATATGTTTCCAGAAAACAAAAAAAAAATTGAACATAGTGCAGCAGCAGTGTCACGACCCAAAATCCAACTAGTCATGATGACCTAACCCAACCCGCTAGGTAAGCCAATTAACAACTATCCATATCAATGAGATTTTTCAAGAAAGAAATGATAATAAAACTACTTTTATACAAGAATTCTCAAGGACTGGTAGTACAAATCATTAGCTTCTAAGATTTAGAGATTACAAAGTTAATATGAAATAAGTACATCA